TGTCAATAAACAATTTCATATTTCAGAGCCAATTTTAACTTCACAACGAAGGATATTGGACTCAAGACAACGCAAGTTCAACTTCATGACGAAGGGACCGTTGGTTGTCAATAAACAACTTCCAAATTTCAGAGCCAATTTCAACTTCACAGCGAAGGATATTGGACTCCAGACAACGCAAGTTCAACTTCACGACGAAGGGACCGCTGGTTGTCAACAAACAACTTCTCAATTTCAGAGCCAATTTCAACTTCACAATGAACGATATTGGACTCCAGACAACGCAAGTTCAACTTCACGACAAAGGGACCGCTGGTTGTCAACAAATAACTTCCCAATTTCAGAGACAATTTCAACTTCACAACGAAGGATATTGGACTCGAGACAACGCAAGTTCAACTTCACGACGAAGGGATCGCTGGTTGTCAACAAACAATTTCCCAATTTCGGAGCTAATTTCAACTTCACAGCGAAAGATATTGGACTCCAGACAACGCAAGTTCAACTTCACGACGAAGGGACTGCTGGTTGTCAACAAACAATTTCCCAATTTCGGAGCCAATTTCAACTTCACAACGAAGGATATTGGACTCCAGACAACGCAAGTTCAACTTCACGACGAAGGGACCGCTTGTTGTCAACAAACAACTTCTCAATTTCAGAGCCAATTTCAACTTCACAACGAAGGATATTGGACTCCAGACAACTCAAGTTCAACTTCACGACGAAGGGACCACTGGTTGTCAACAAACAACTTCCCAATTTCAGAGCCAATTTCAACTTCACAGCGAATGATATTGGACTCGAGACAACGCAAGTTCAACTTCACGACGAAGGGACCGCTGGTTGTCAACAAACAATTTCCCAATTTCGGAGCCAATTTTAACTTCACAACAAAGGATATTGGACTCGAGACAACACAAGTTCAACTTCACAACGAAGGGACGGCTGGTTGTCAACAAACAATTTCCCGATTCCAGAGCCAATTTCAACTTCACGATGGAGGATATTGGACTCGGAACAATGCTACTTACTTGGATTTCAACTTCACGACGAAGGATATCCAATTCTATGCTCAACTTCACGACGAAGGGGCCACCTGCGGTTTCAACTTCATGACGAAGGGAATCGTGCACACAAGCATCATCCATCTTTAGATTGGATTTCAACTTCACGACAAGGGATATCCAACTCAAAGAAGGATTATCTAACAAAGACCTTCGAGTTTGACTACGCTCATCTCCAAGGCATATCATTTACAGCATACCTCAAAGCTAGAAGGGTTATCTGCCATCAAAATTGTCGAGTTCGATTCCATTCAGCTCGATGACACATCAATCGCACTACTTTCCGGTTGCAGTCGAGGTTTTCAAGTCGAGAAGAGGACCTGGGTTAGCCGTGCCTGAGTGACCGAGAAGAAGACCGAAGGGCAACGGGAAGCCACGTGCTGATTCAAATTCCGAACTACGGCTTCAATTTCATATCATTTCAAGATGGACTCGACTTCATGATGGAGGAGTCATCTGTAACTCAATTCGACAGGGAGTTATTGAAACATCAGAGTCAATTTTCAACTACACTGAACGAAAAGTGTGTCTTTTAATCTTTGTCCTATCCCCGTTACACGACTATGGGCAAAGAGGGGCAGTTGTCAACACACCTTTTCGTCCTACTAGGATTCAAACTCCTAAAAATATGATAGAATTTTGCTAGGATTCAAACTCCTAAAAATAGGATAGAGTTCTACAATTATTTAAACTCCTAAAGATAGGATCCACAAGCATTATAAATAGTTATTGTAACTCACTATTGTAACACATTCGGACAAGAGATATACGAAATACCAAGCAAAAAATTACAAGCAACTCGTAACCATTTTTCGAAGCATTTATATTTTGAAAGGTAAAGTTCATACTTTCGCATGTTATTTTTCCTTACCATTGTTGTGTTTTGATTCGAAAGAAAACCGAGAGAAGTGTTTTTGGCCAATGAACGGGGGCATTTTCGAGATCTATTTTTGTAGATCTAGCCCCCAAGGCTTGTGTTTTTTTGAAAAACTATTCAGATTTTTATAAACGGGTCGTGTGGATTCGTGTGTTTTGCCTCTACAGTGGGTTAATACCCATTTCGGTCCCCCTGATTTTAAATACATGCAAATTCGTTTTTTTCTTCAATTGGCTTTTAATTTCGACCCCTAATTCATTTTTTTTTTAATTTAACCCTTATTATTTATATGTATATATATATATTATTATTTTATTTATTTATTATAGTTCTTTTTTTTCATTTTTTTGCGTTATATATTTTATTTTCCTATATATATATATATATATATATATATATATTATTATTATTATTATTTTATCTATTTACTATTTTTACTATTTTCCTAATGTTATATATATATATATATATATATATATATATATATTCTTACTTCATTTTATTTTATATTTCTATGATTACTATTTTTTTAGTTAATATTATATGTATATTTATTTTTCATTTATTTTTATTATTATTATTACTATTTAGTATTTTATTATATTATACATTTATATATATATATATATATATATTATTTTATTTATACTATTTATTTATTTTCATTATATTTTTAGTTTCTTTGCTCTTATTATTATTTTTCTTTTTTAAAAAAATATTTTACCTTTTTTTATTCTTTTTGTATATATATTTTATCTTCATTTATTTTATTTTATTCAATTTCATTTTATTTATTTTTTGTTTCATCCAATTATTTTATGTTTATTATTATTTATTTCATTTATTTCCTTAGTTTACTCTTTAGTTTTGTTACTTTCTTTTATTATTATTATTTTCTTTTAACATCTTATTTTTTAAAGGTATTTTCGTAAACTCATTAAGGGTAAGTAATTCGGATCAAATTTTACCTTTTAATTTAACTTGTAATTTTCTTAATCAAAGACAACTGGAAATTACGTAGTACCGAAAGGGCGGTTCAAGGGTGTTAATCCTTCCTTGACCGTAACCGACTCCCGAACCCGACACATCTTTGGAAAGATGCAGATCAGGTAAGAAATAGGGTATCCGATCAACCCATTTGTTTTAAATAAATGATCGGTGGCGACTCCAATCCACATTTTTCAAGTCGAAGCCCAATTACGGGGCCCAACCAAAAGACAGTTGCGACTAGTGGAACAAAAGATTATGACAGTGAGGAATAAATTTTATTGCCAATGTTAGTTTTTATCTCACAAGTCTGACGCAGCACAAGATGAAAATGCTTACGTCACTTGGCCAGTTGTCCAATACACCTCACGTGAAACCATGCCCCTACTAAGGAATTTGAGATCACTCCCAGCTGCCATATTATTCACACAATTGGCATGAAACTAATGGTATTTAGGAAATTTCCAATGACACTAAACCTTAGAAATTCCCACTATAAATATCTCATTATAACACCCTAAAGGAAAAGGAGAGAACATACCCTAAAAGTGAACCTTGGAGAAAGGCGACTGTAGCACATCCTTTTCCACTCGATCGTCCTTGGTGCCCTCCATAATCAGGCTTCGAGCAGCGATCAGGCCCTCGAGAGAGGCTGGTCGCTGGAGCAGTCATGGTGGTGGTCTGACGGCATGGCATAGCTCTGTTCTGAGAGTTTTTCTTCCACTTGTTCTTCATTTCCATATCATTTAAGGGCTTGTATTTAAATATTATTTTTGGGATGATGTTACCACACCATAAATTATTTTATTTAGTGTTGGAAATGTTTGAATGATACTTTATTCGATTGTTAATGAATGATTAAGTATGTTTTTGTTAAATGTTATTTTGTTCACTGTTTTAATCTTTTGCCTTGACACTGTAAGAGCTTTTGAAAGATTGTCTGGTGTCACGGTAAAACATTTGTAGTCTTTGTAAGAGCTTTTGAAAGATTGTTATTTTTCTAGGAGTTGATACCTAATATTCGAAAGAGTTAAGTTAGTTCTACGTGAACAAGGGAACCAATCCGGGATGGTGAGGTTCTAATCTGCCTTAGAGATAAGGAGAGAGTTTCATTCGACTAAGAAGGGTAAATGCTTGTGTAGATAGGCTACATCTACAGTTTACGCTGAGGGATATTGCCACAGTAACAGTTTGACAAACCAAAATCTCAGTTCATGCTGGGTAGTATTGTCGTAGCAAAAGTTCTAGGAATACTCTAGTAAATCATGCCGGGCAGCATAGGCATTGCATACTAAATCATCCTAGACATAGAATAATTTCTTACTGCAGCGAATCCAACCCAAGTGCTCCGTTAGTGATCTGATTGTGTGAGGTTTTTTAGAATATATTGAACTAAACATTTTTCTTTGCCTTGACAACTTTTATTTGTTTACCTTCGCATATTTTTCTCGCAATGACAACTTTTCTACTCACTTCACTTTACAATTTTTCTTGCCTCGGCCATACTTTTTTCCCATCTGTTTGCTACTACTTGTTTTTCCTTTGTGAATAACATTAGACAAGAATCTTAGAACTAGTTAGTGACACCTAGTTCTAGCTAAAACAATCATAAAAATTTCCCACAAATCCTTGTGGAGACGATAACTCACTTATTACTATATTACTTGCTTTGATTGTGTATACTTGCAAAAAATTACGTGTCACACCACACACTTATACACGATCAGTCAACAATGTAGGAAAGAGCTTTTCCACTTCTTTTTTAACTCATTCATGCTTCTGCATCACAATTTATAACATACAATAAGGAAGAAAAAGTCTCAATGCAAGAAAAAACTTGAGTCACTGACAAGATCCATCAATATAATGGCAGATATTAATTATTACCTCAAGAAACATGGCTGTTATTAGAAAGGCCTGCATATTTGAGGTCCAAGAAGAAGAAGAAAAAAGGAATCTTAAACTATAAAGATTCAGCAGAAAACTAGGCAGAGGCTTAAAAACTGCACAAATGGGGGAAAAGAAAAAGCCTCGTACAACACAATGTGAAATAAAATAACAAAAAAATCAGAAAGGAAAACGAGCTTCGGGACAGATGAATTGTTCACATAAGGTTTTACCAAATGTGACAATTTTCAGATTTATACAATGCAGCATTATGAAATTCAGAAGATGCAATTGTTGGCTGAATTGCATATTTTTCAGAGAACAAAATCAACTTGGCAGGAACTTTGTACATCTCCAACAATGGGAAATGAATTTACAGATTACTCTTCCTCATCCACCAAAACTATTGTTAAATGTAATCAACCCACATCTTGTTGCAGCTTTTATCCCTCTGTGTCAATATTATCATCACTGGGAGACATCTGTCTATTTTCGGACAGTGAGAGTCTTCTGGTCTTTGTAGAAACTGCTTCAGCAAGCCCCTCTGATGACAGGTTTAACCCAGTATATCCTGACGATGACCCCTGGAAATTGCGAACGGGGGCATCAGATGTAGATGATGCTGAGTAATTGTATGTGAAAATTCCCATAGGATGGTTAAACTTGCAACTTGGACCAAACTTGCAAATTCCATATCGAGAATAAAATATGCACAGAGGTTCGCCCTGTAAGAATGCAGAAGTAGCAGAGTATCAATATTGTAAAAAATATCAAGCAATCAAAGAATAAAACTAGCAACAGTGCATATTCGAAGATAGTCCACTTCTTGCAAACCAACGACAAGCACCATAAAATAAATGGCAAAGAAAATGACAAGAAGAATAGCCACCCTCAAACCAGAAGGAATATTTGCGAAATGGATAACGGATAAACAAAACATTCTATGCTTTTTAGTAAAAGCGAAAGTAAGAAAAATCAAAATAGTAACATTCTACAACTGAAGATAAATCTGAACAGCATTAAAGCTTCAAAACAAGAGGCCATGATAAGGCTCTCTAGTCTCTACCATAATAAAACAAAGGCACAGGAATTTAAGAATGAAATTAGGAAGTTAATTTGGATGATAACCTTGTAACCTATGTTACATGGACTTCGGTATGGGTTCAGGTTTAAATTTGATCCAAGGTTGACTCCCTCCAAAATCTCAGATTAGTAGTGTAGGCTATGAGGAGTCTAAAAGCTGGACATGGATACGTAGATACCATATAATATACAAAAGAAACATACAAAATTGAAATTTCAAAACTACTGAAAGTTCCAATTTAAGAAACTAGATTTTGGTTTCATGACTTTATCTTGTTAAACAGTTCAGAAAAATATATCTTGATTTTGTATTTTATAAAAAAGAATAAAGAACTATAGCAGTAATATATATTTAAGTAGTTTAATCTATACTATTTTAATATTCTAAATGAGTTTTATAAAATAAATATGGATTTTGTGTTCTAAATGTTTTTCTGTTCGGTCATAGCAATGAAGTTCATGACAAGCTTTGAGAGTATCCTCTGATAAAGCTAGTTCTCTCCATTTTTTCGAGCAAGAAAGAAAATCCATTTTATGCCAGTTCCTTCTAATATAATTTAAAGTCTGCATTGCAGTCGCACAATGACGCGTTGCCAGCAGGTGTACCAGAGCAACATCCATTTTTTAATATAAAAGAATCAATCAGGAAACCAAGTTTTTAGAAGAAAAGGTATGTAAGATTATAGATGAGGGAATGACATTTTTAGGTAGCATGAATACTAGGTTTCTAATAAACAGCCATAATTATATGAACAGAAAGTTTTAGAAATAAACTGAAAGAATACCACTGAAAACATAACTCACCGGGCGTAATGGAAGGCCTATACGACTCAACACACAATCAGGGGCAGGAAGAACTCTCTCTCTTGGGTGATGAAACCTACAAACTGCACCAAACTTACAATCTCCAGTCTTCATGTAAAATTGGCACTCGGGCTGGCCAGGTCTTTCCGGAAATACATTCTCCCTTTGCAATGCATAAACACCTACAGGAACAGAACCAGACTGTAACAGAGAAAAGGATGCTTGGGATCCTGCAGTTGCTGATTCTTTCTGGCGTGAGGTTCCGTAGATTTGGTGATTTACATTTGTCTGCTGCAGGTTCTCTGAAGAAGAGGCTGATGTCAGTTGACCCTGGAGAAATGAACGAATTAGACTGGTAGCACTTGAGTCCGTAGGTGCTCTAAAATTTTCGAAGAAACAGTATAGCCCTTCTTCTCTAAAGATCTGTAACAAAAATAATTAGCATATTGACGATTACAATTCTCATGAGTTGTCTCTCTTGTCACCTCTAATGTTGTCCAAACCCATGATAACACGGAATGAGCATGCTGAATGAGCAAAGCGCTAGTAATAAGCTAAGGAAAAGCTTACGCTATAAGCATTCCAGCCTGGAACTGATACCATCCCTTGGGGTAAAATCAAGGGTGCATAACTTGATGGACCTTGCCAACGGGGACTGGGAATGAAAGATGCTCTTGACCAATTTGTGATTCCTCCTGGATAAGACTGCTGACCAGGAGTAGTTGGAGAAGGGACAGTTTGATAAACAGGAGAGCCACGCAATGAAACCATCATATTAGTTGGTTGAGGATGATGAAATTTACAAGTGCTCCCGAACTTGCATTGTCCAGTTCTTAGATAATAAGCACACTCAGTCTCGTTCTGCATTAAGGAAAAGAAAAAGGAAAGCAAGTTACATATGAAACACCAATAACCATATATATATATATGTTGGAAACCTATCATTGAAGAAATATACTTCTCTAACAAGGTCCAACCTTACACAAAATTTATAGGCTAAAACTTGTTCAAACTTCAAGAGTATTTTTTTCTACATGGATCCATATTTAAAGTTGAAACCAAATTCATAACTCAAAATGAAAAGAGGAAAGGTTCTCTTGGAGTCGTAGCAAGTGATAAAAAATTTAATTTATCAAACTTGTCAATATGCATACATTTTTTATATTGGATCTAATCTGGATGGCATTAATTCCCGGTTTTGCTCAATTAATCCAATTAAAAAATTGTAATATTTGTGTTAAAATGACTAAGCGACAAACAAAAACTGAAACCAGGGCATGAATATTGACATGATTTTGTATCATTATAAAATTGTATTTTAAGGAATAAAAGGAAAAATTATATCAAACCGGACGAAGAGGGTAGCCCAAAATATTTAAGGAAACTCTCCCAGCTATCCCAGCTTTGTCTTTAGGATGGTGAAACTTGCATGTAGCTCCAAATTTGCAAGATCCTGTTTGCAGGTAGTACTGCAGAGCAGTTAAGAGCAAAATGTCAGTTGTTGGATCTAAATATAAATGAAAATGAGAAATATAGAGTCCCATAATTGGACATGATGCAATAAAACCAAAGAGTAGCTTCTGTCGAGATTCCAGTTTAGCTCACAGTGCAGTAAAAGCAAGAGTCGGTGCTATATAGCCTTTCCAGAATAGAAGAGTGGAAACGAAGAAAACAAATACTAGGAGAAGTCAGTCACCTAGTCAGGCAGACAATTCAAACTAAAGTTTTGCAGCTAAGTCAAACCACTAGAAGAGAAGTAAATCTTTTCTCAATCCAATTTATTAGCATATTTCTGTTTTCTTAGTTTCTTTATTTGGTTATTTTCTTATACTAGGATCAAGTCGGTATTCAATCTGTCTTTATGAATTGCTTTTGAGAACAAGAACCTTTTGAGGCAAAAGCATAGGCAGGAGAGGAAGAAACCACATAAAACCTTTATCATCAATAATCTATGTTGGTTATACTATTATCTTCAATAAATTTTCCGTTAACTCTAAATGGGTCTCACTCTATTCCACATCCAGCAGGATTTCTCCCTAAATTTGAAGTAATCCTTGTTTCATTATGAACTAATATAATTTCCTTTTTTAGATACATAAAAATTAGTATACTTAATGATAACCGTACACAGCATATTGTAAAGCACACGTGTAAAGCAGTAACCTTGTTACATGTGAAACCAAGGAACAAGTACATGCCTGACATTCAGGTTGTCCTACTCTTTCTGGAAACTCTCCTTTCATCCTTGCTGCAGCAATAGCCTGGAATTCGATATAAACTAAATAAACACTTCAATTGACAATTGATATTTAAAAACTCAAATGAGTTGTACAAAGTTAAATGAAATTACTGTAGCAGGTTAAGTATAATCCCTCCTCTCTCTTTTCTAGTAGCAACTTTAGTGTGTATGCATATACAAAACCATGCTAATCTCTTGAGTATCTAATACGATATAAATTTCCTAAAATGATTTTTGTTTTAGAATGATTTAGTTGTAAAGATACATGCGTAAAAGGTCCATGTGTCTACAACTTCTTACCAATATTATGCCAATAACAACAATAAAAGGCCTCTGAAGTTCAGCTTTTTGGCATTGTACCAAAAGATCTCACTCAAAAGGCATTAACTCTGAACAGGACTTGTTCAGCTAGATAAAGAGCCCTAAGAGGCGGAATCTAGTAGGTCTAGGGTTCAAATATCAACATCTGCAACTCAACTTTGCACCCCAAAAAAAGTTGACTCTGAACCCATAAGAATTGTATATACAAGCCATGGCTTTATACCAGTTCTCGGTTAGGAGGATGATTAAAATGACATGTTTCCCCAAATCTACAAAGGCCTGTCCTGATATAATAAGAACAATCAGGTTCTCCGGGACGCTCGGGATAGGGACTAGATTCCATCGTTTCACTGGATCTCAAGTTCATTTGCCACAGCATCTGAAATAACATTAAATAGTAGGTTCAGAAAATACATGGAAAAACAGCGGTAAAGAACAACTAAAGGAATCATGAAGACCAACTATGATAAATGCAGAAAGTCTGAAACAAATAAACGTAGCAATATATCCTTTAAAGTATATCATTCTTATGATATATTCCTTATATACCTTCAAATACATCCTTTAAAATACAAATTAAATTTTACGCTGGCATGTTGTCTATTAAAAGAAATGTAGTAGTTAAAGAAATTTACTTAAAAAATTCCCAAAATGAATTTTTTTTAATATTTTATAACATTTTTTTATTTTCACACGCAAAAAGAATACTTATCATTCGATGAAAAGATCAAACAATATATATTTTCCAAGATTTAAATGTATATATATACATTTTCTTCTCTTATATGCCTATATAGGGTATAAACAAGACGTCTGTAACTCTTTGGTTCGACTCGAAAAGAATTTGGATTCAACTTGATCATTATAGAATTCAGCTATTAAGTGTGCCAAGTCCGAAAATCCTAATGCCTAGCTTGAATAACTTACAAATCAAGTTTTTTTTTTTCAATTTAATACAGATTATTATTACTATTTTTAATTAGTACTGAAAAGAATCTTGTTTCAAACATGACTCCAAATTCTACAACAATGACCTTGAACATTTCGAATGACTTCAAGTCGAGCTCGAGCATTTTACTGCTGGAGCTCACCTTAGCACGGTTACATTCCTGTATCTATCAAAAACCAATCAAGCTCATTGGAGAATCATGTCTCTTTCTTCCTACAAGGTGACTAAAGTTTCGTATTAAATGACATATAAATGTGAACAAGGAGAAACTATATTTAATCGTCAACTTCAGCTTTTCTCTTAAAATGAATAATAATAAAGAAAGATCTCCTATTTACTCTGGAAACTTGAAAGGAATTTCAAGGAAATCACAGGAAGGAAAATAGAAAACATGAAGTACTTTATTTTCAGGCAACTGTGTAAGCTTACATCCTCTTATTCAAAGACAACTAGAAAGAATAGCTTTTCTTTTTTAATAAGTTTTGATCAAATTCACCTGATTGAGTAGGAAAATTAGATAAGCAGTAAAAGCATTAACCAAATACACCTTAATCCTGTCAAAATAAAAGAATAGAACTTAATATTTTTCTACAAGTAATAAAGCAATAACTTTAAAAATAAAATAGGACAAATATCATCAGAGGAAATTTTAAATCTCATTTTAAGTTCTGGAACCTTAAATTTGACTAGAAAAATTGAGAAAGTGAACCTCTGATTCTTCCCGGTCACCAAACCAAAACTTGCAACAATTTATTCAAAATCACCACAGAATTACATAGTTTTCTCAAAAATTCAAATGCAACTAGATTAATCATTAGAATTCAAAATTTACATAATTTCTTAATTAAAACTTAACCAAAAAGGACTGATATTAAACAATGATCAAACAAGAATTCACCAACAAAATTAGCAAAAGGACAATTCAGGACAAAAAAGAACCAAGAAAAACACATGAATTGTTTTCCACTTGCGATTCGCATGATTAAAAACGTAAAATAATAATCAAAACAGAATAAATAAATGAAGAGAGAGGGAGAGTCAGAGAGAGGCCTTGATTCAACGATGGCGAAAGCGAGGATCCTTCAGCCATAGTCACTGCCGGCACTGCTGTTCGAGACATTGGAATTCCTGCATCGAATGAGAATTCCATTCAGCGGTCATCTTCCTTCCATCGCCATCACTCAGCTGTCGCGTTAGCACCACCTCAACGTAGGAATTCGCATTCCCCGTTACAAAACCGCGCTGTCACCTAAGCAAAAACGCTTCCTCTCCTCCTCGCTAACAGAAACCAGAGAAACAAAATCAAAGAAATACTAAAAGATAACTTTTCTTCACGGAAAGTCAGTCTCTGTTTTCTAAAAAAAATATATTTCTTTTCTATTTTTTGTGTTCATAATTTTGATAGAATCCAAGGGGCGTTGTTTTCTCATCTCCACACAAAAAATAAATAAATAATTAAAAAGCGGAAAAATAAATCATCCATCCATCCAAAACCCACCCACTTCCACTTTATTCATTTCTTTTGATTACGGAGCTTTGTTCTCACACGCGCAAGTACGTCATCGTATCCATATTCTCTGTTGTACTTCGCCACGTCATGGCTTTGCTACTTTGTAATTTGGCTCGGGTCCATTTCTATGGCCGGTTTAAATTTTGGTTGGACTGCTGTTATCAAATGAAAGCGAGTGAATGACTTTTAGCGCGCGACTTTGAGTGGAAAGAACCGGTGCTGCTTTTTTATTATTATTATTATTATTATTATTTTTTTAGTTTCAGACTTAATAATTCGTAATGTTATTATTATCATTTCTTATTGCATAAAACAATTTGCATATATTATTATATATTAGAATAAAAATATTATGAAAAGATAAAAATAAAGTGTAAATTGGATAATTTATATATATATATATATGTAATTTTATATTTACAGATGAAATAAAATAAAGATTATATTTTATATTATATCCAATTTATAATATTCACAGGTTTTCCCCAAAAAAATTATAATCTTCACAAATTAAATGGAAAAAGTGTTAGGATAGTGGTCTGGAAAAAATTATAAAATAAAGATTAAATGGAAAGTCTTATAATCTTCACAGATTATGTTTCTATTGGCAAGTAGGCTATACAAAGTTTGCCAATTTAGACCAATCCACAATGGTCTTCTAATACTAGATTCACTGATTTAACTGATTTAGACCAATCCAGAACATAATCAATAACTCAGCATTTTGCAGTTAATAAAGATGAGAGAGAAAGCCGTACAAGTAAAGGACAAGGGACGGTGCATGCCTTTTCTGAGCCAATTGAGTCATCATACAACATGGGAGTAACCTTGTAGCAGAGCATGAACCTTACTTTCCAAGAAGATAACTGAACTCAAAATACATCCGACCTAATATGAATTCAAACTCGAGATTAATTTGGTAAATAATTGATATTATCCAACATGTTATCAACATGACCTGTAAATGACTCGATTTGTTATTTAATTGATCTAATATTTACATGACTTGGTATTAACCTAACTTGTAAGTTACGATTGATGAAGTTGTGAGATTTTGAAATTATAATATTATAGTATAACAAAATACATCTTCGCAATTAAAAATTTATAATAAACTATAATCATTAAATTAATTTGTTTACTTTTTGTATTTATAAATTATAATCTATAAACATACTCAAAAGTTTTATTAAATTAATAACTTATTATTGATAAATTTAATAAAACTAATTCTACATAATATAAAACAAATTATTAATTATAATTATTAGATTAATAAATTTAATTATGATCATTATATTAACAAATTTGATTTCTATATTAATTATGATCATGATTAAATGAACATCAGGTAATAGTCCAAATCCAATTAATAGATAATCTTGATTAAATGAATATCAGATATACAGTACATTTGTATACATTAATTTTTTGTTTTCTTACATCTTTTTTAATTTTTGTTGATTTAAAACGAATTATTAATTTTATACTGTGATGAAATAAATTAACTTAAAATCATAACAAATTAAGTAAAAATATATTTTTATCATAATTTTGAATTAAATTGCCAATAATGAATTAATTTACGTAGGACCTTTCAATTTGGGTCTGATTACAAACCATTTTTTATGATGAGATAGAACCTAAGCAGGCTGTATTGAACTAGATCATGATACTTTATTTGGTTTGAGCGGTAGTGGTAATTGTTCAAAAATTAGAACATTAAGCATCCTTTTAAGAAGATAAATAATATACCTCAAAATTAGTCTTATTAAATGATCGTTGGAGTACTAGTACGACAACCCTTTATTAATATAGATTTTTATCTAAGTGAATTATAAAAAAATTAATACAAAAAAAGATGAATGAAATAGGAATGTTTTAACACCGATTGACGATAGAATAATAAGCAAACTAAAATCAATACCAATAGCGGCTGTTCTTGATTCTGATAAATGATGCAAAGCTGATACATGCCTCCTCGTCATATAAGGCGCTCTTCTACTCCTGCTTGGCCTAGGATTTTTACTGCTCCGCTTGTTCCAAGTTTGATCGTATGACTTCTCCAGCTAGATTTTTTTTCATGGTGTGATAGTGTAAGCAGATTACACCGAACTAGCCTGCCAAGGGAGCCATGATTGCATTATGTTGGAACGTAAGGGATAGATAAACCCCTTATATTCCAGTACTGTTCTCAACTAATCCGTTACAACATATGACTTGGATGAACGGATGCTATCTGGGAACAACTGGATAGTGGCTTCATTAATAGCACCAGTCTTCAACTTAATGCAGATACTTTTTCTCATCATTTACCATTAACAATCTCAGATCTGGTCTGATGATTGTTTTTCCATGGAAACACACCTTACCGGACCAGTATGTTGTGAACTTCTGCGATAAAACTTGTTTCTACATGAATCATCCTCTTCTTCTACTGGAAGGTTGGTTAGCTCTCGAGACTTGAAGACCTCAAACAGCCTTTCGCTCGTCCTGAACACTAACCCAAGATCGATGTTCAGTGCATTTGACCGTGTTTGGGCGTTTTATCGGGCTTCTTTTCCTTCTACGATTTTGAGTACGATTTCGAGTTTCAAAGAATTAAATTAAGAGAACCAGCGATCTATGCCTTACGAACGTCAACCACCTCTTCAAGGTCTTTAGTAGTTAGGGGGTGCGGAACCACTGTTCTCTCCTCTTAGCGAGTCTAGTACCCACTCCTAGTATTGGCTGGGGATGTACACAGCAGTCGAGTTTTGAGTGCTCACCTTATCTTTGCTACGCTATTTCCAGAATAAATTGATTCGTTTTCCTCTCCCGCTTTTTCTGTCAGCCAGTTCCAGTAGCGAGCAGTTCGCGATTGGCTTTCTGGTTCGCTAGTTTCGGAATTGATCAATTTGCCTCGTCCCCTGCAAAGGAATAGAGTAAAGGGACTTCCTCTCCAGATCCCCGACCAGCCTTGACTGAAAAGCTTTCAGACCCCTGTGTTAGCTAGTTATACTAGCAATATCGCCGCAATGGCCGCCCTGAGAGTTGGCGCCTGGCATTACGTTATAATACCTCTTTCAGACCCTCTCGCATTCGCTCAAGCCAAACTCATACCCTCTCCGTAAACCAAATATGAGCTTGAGCCTTTAGCATTCCGATCTTCAAGCTTAATGCACCAATGAAAAGATTAGCAGCAAATAATATCCTGTTTTGATCCATTGCAAACGTAGGAAGGTAATAATCCAAATTTTGTTATCACTGTATGGATGGTTACATTTGTGTGGTTAGCATGAGTTTTGCTTATGGTTGGCTGATAAATATTCCTATAATTAAATTTACCATACAGCGAAGACAATGTACATAAGCCCCAAAAAAACGTATTTGATGGGGGATTTACAATTCATATGTCTTAAATATAAGGAACACGGAAATTATCTTCCTGATCAGCAACAGATCTCACAACATCAAATTTGCAGGATAAGATCAAACACATTCTACCATTAGACACAGTTATAGCATTTCCGGCATATAAGAAATGTAGAACAGTGTAAGCTTAACGAATTGAAACTTTCATCTACCCTGCAGTAACTTCAACATCGACTCTCGAGACTTTCCCATAGATAAATATCTTCACACCCAGATTACTAATTCTATCCCAACTTGAGCAGTAACATAACATTCAATAGCAAGACAAGTTTGATCACAATCAAATATAACACAAAACTATAATGAACTCATACGTAAGCAGTGAAGAACTCTACCCAGAAGCAGAGCATCATTAACTCTTGGAATCATATTATTATTACCTGCCACAAAGATCATTCATTCATTCTCGAGAGTTTCGAGTACAACCCTACAGGAGGAACATAAAATTCCCGATCCGTGTACATAAACATCACACTCAATTTCTAATTCCATCCTAACTTAAGCAATAACATAACATTCATAACTCCAATTCCATTCGTATTAAAATGAACACTGAAAAACAGTAACTAGATGCATTTGTTCAGTACCTGCATCCCACAATAAGTTAACCAAACAATTCGAATCTTGAATAAAGGAAGAACATGTATAAATCTAATTAGTAAATTATCAAATTCAAGCTCATATTCTCCATAAATCATCTCATGGAGGGGGGGGGCGGGAATAAACCTAGTTATTAGGTTTCTAAGAAACAAGTTCATGCATGAAAAAAAACCCATATCCACAAACAGTTCATTGGAATTAAATAAAGCTATAACATAATCATCATCACCATCAAATCCAGGATGGGTTAATATACATCATCATCATCATCATCATCATCATAACCTTTTTACCCAAACTAGTAAAGAAACCAGACCCAAATTAAAAAACAACTCAAAAGCACCAAATCTTAAAGAAACAGTTGATTTTATTAGTAAATTTCACTTTTTCAAGCTACCCCTAACACCAGGACGAGGCTTGGAAGTATCAGCAACATGAGTAGCATGAAGGTTCACAAGCTTTGACTCCTCAAAGGGAATCTTAGGATGCTTGGAATCATGATGAATCTGCATCGTCTTCAGATCTGGGGCTGTTACTTTGCAATGGGGACACTCGAATTTGGCATGTCCACCCTTCTCCACCCCAGAACGGTCAGCTAATCCGGCCTTGCCGCCACCTCGGTTGGTTGTGGCGGCATCAGCCTTGGCTGCGATTTCCTTGGCTGTGTGCTTCTTGGGCTTGGCCTTGCCTGTCATGATCGATTCAAAAACAAAGACAGAAAACCTTATGCGTTGATGATCAAAGAACTTGCTGCTTTTTTTAGCTTTTTTGTTTGGTAGGTATTGGCTTAATGGCTAAGGGGGCGAGGATAATATGGTGAGGGGGAAAGTAGGGGAATTATTATTATTATTATTATTATTATTATTATTATTAAGCTTAGGCTTAGCAGCTGGAATAGAGTTTGCCCCGTATTTTATTAAAATTTAATTTTAAATTAAAACTATTATAAAATTTAGTCTCATCAGAATCCAATGAGCCACCCTTATCTCTTTATAAATTAAATATTGTTATTTTATAGGGTTTCTTCTTTATTTTTAGGGTAAACTACTCTAATGGTCACTAATTTTTGGGTAAGTTTTCGTTTTCACTACTGATGTTTTCAAAGTTACAAATCGATCACTAATGTTATCATTTGTTACAAATTGGTCACTCGCCGTTAAGACGTGATGTGAAACACACGTGGCATATTAACAGCAGTTAACAGGCTTACTTGGATAGTATAATTATACAAATAGTCCATGTTATTTATATATTCTTTCAATTTGATCCTAGTTTTAATAAATTAAAATATATTTATTTTTTAATTCTTATAAATAATGATATATTTTTTCCAAACTTTTATTTTTATTTTTTAAAATAAATAATAATATTAAAATATTAATGTTTTTATTTTTTTAAGAAAACTTTGTATTCCATCACAACCGATACTTCCCTCGCCAGTGTGCTACGGATGATTGCTTCACCTTCCCCGGTGCATGACACCATGCAAAGCTCTGATGCGTAGGTCCCCGAACCGATAAGTGGCGAGTCACCAATCCTTCCAATCATCTTGTTCATGAGCCCACCGGTAGAGGTGGCGGTGGCACATCGGCCCTCCTTGTCAACCACCACGCACCCTACTGTCTCCGGAGCGTAGACGCTGATTGGGAGTCCATTCATTTGCAAAGGATTGTCCATGGCGGCGCCGGCACCACAGGAGCCAACAGCAGGGATCCGATAATCAAACTGAAGAGTAAACAAAATTAGAAAATGTTAGCCATTGTCCCACTGCATTAATGTGGTGGTTTCGTAAAAGGAAAGTAGTGCAAACATTAAACGTGCGTAAACCAGGATTGAGTAGGCCTCCTTTGCCAACTTAAGCATCCCAACATTATCCTGGGTAATGAAATATTCATTATCCACCATCTCTACGCCCTGCAACAAATACAACACAAACTTGTCTCTGTCACGTGGGGTAAAAGAATCCAAGATTCCAAAGCATTTTAAAAACGTGGGATTCGGTCAGAACTAAGGACCTGTTTCTTGGCGAACTCTTCGGCACCCAAAAAGCCCAGATACGAATGTGGTGATTTTTCCACAAGTCGAGCAAGGGACACTGGGTTCTTAACGGTGGTTAAACCGAAAACGGCGCCGCATCGCCTCTTCGGCCCGTCCATAATGCTGGCTTCCATTTCCACCGTTCCATTCTCGGTGAGGGCAGATCCACGCCCGGAGTTAAACAAGGGATCGGTTTCCAATTCTCACCTATATTCATCCATTGAATACTAGTAATTATTTAAAAAAAAGTTTGGGGAAGAAAAAATGTTAATTTTATTAAAAAAAACGTTGTTTTTTTGTTTTTATAACTAATTTTAAATTTTTGATTTCCTTTTTTAAAAATATATCATTATTTATAAGAATTAAAAATAAATATATTTTAATTTATTAAAACTAGGATCAAATTAAAAGAATATATAAATAACATAAACAATTTGTGTAATTATACAATCCAACTGCTAACAGGCCAAGTGTGTTTTCCGTCATGCCTGTTAACGACGAGTGACCAATTTGTAACAAACGATAACGTTAGTGATCGATTTATAACTTTTGAAACATCAGTAGTGAAAACGAAAACTTACCCAAACATTAGTGACCATTGCAGTAGTTTACCCTTATTTTTATTTTTATAATATTTTTATCTATTCTATTTAAAAAGATTAAAAATATTTTTAAAAAAAATTCTTTAATTAGTCATAATCTTACAAACATCTAAATTTTAATATATTCAAACTTACAACTTATAAAAGATTCTAATTTTGTAAAAAAAAATATTCTAATTAAATTAAGATTCAGCTAGTACATAGCTAACTAAATAATGTAACTCAATTTTAAGATCTCTTAAATAATATGTTGAAAATTTTCAATTAATCAAAAAATTATTATTTTAATAATTTAATATATAAAACTGTTTAATAGTATAAATTAAATCTTTAAATTAATTTTTAATTAAACTATATAAAATTATTAACTAGATAAAAACTACTTATCACATAATACAAACACTTTTTGTTTTCTTTTTCTTTTTTAATTATATTATCTTTTAAAATTTATATTTTATCAAATAATTTAATTATATTCAATATTCAATTTTAATTATACTTTAAAATCAATATTTAATTTTTCATTATGTCAAAAACACGAATAGAATTTTGATTAGTAGATGATAGGCGGAGCTAATTATTTTTTTTAAGGAAAAAAATGAGATTCCCATTAAGACTTATAAAGAAACAATAAAAAAACAATAAATAATAAAACAATAAAAACATATATAAAAAAAACAAAAGACCATTTCAACAATCATGCACAAAGCACTGGATACAACCAATTTTAAGCTGTAGTATTTAATTTCTATGTATAAAATTGAAAGTCGTATATAATCACATACCAAGAGTTTTAAGGTTTGTATAAGAAACAGATAGATATGAAGAAGCAAAACTATATATGATAATTTAGCAACATAGAAAGAGCAAGAACCTTTGATTCTGAACAAACTCAAGTAGAACCCAACAACTTACCAGGCTTGGGTAAGATGCGAATTGCGATCTAGGATGGAAAATTTCCGGCGGCCTGCAGATAGATTGATGGTGATGATGTTGTAGTTTCATGGTCAAACATGGGAAGGCAAGGATCATAATGGTTATCATCCTTCAGCTCTTGTTTGATCGTATGGAACCCAGTAGCATTGTCTTTGAACTGTTGCCCTGGAAGGAAAGAGTGAATTGGACCTGTTGGTTTTCCAACACTATTAATATCAAAACCAGCCAAACATAAATTTGCAGATGTCGGGAGATTCAGCGGCATCGAAATTGGAAAATTGGGAACCAATGGGACCATTGAGCCAGATGAATGAGTTGCAATGCAGTTTGGGTTCAGTCCAAAGGAGCCATAAGAGATAGCTTTCCGTAAGGAAGGAAATTTCATTTAGTAAACAGTAGCCAGAGATGTCCCAAGTTTCATCTCATTGCTGAAATCCCCAAGGAAACTAGGTCTCATATATAAATGCAGCCTTTTGTTCAAAAGGAGGAGCGATATCTTGGATCGGTGTTTCAAGCTTTAGAACCTTGGCATTTCTGGATAATCCCAGAGCAGCTTGAGTGTTGGGAACGGTTGGGGTTAAATTATAACCACTTGAGTTAACATGACTGCTGTTTCTGGCTGCTGGAACTTCATGATTATGTTTCCCATCGTATGTCGTGAGTACGCATTTTAGATTATGCGAAGCTCTTTCCACATGCTTCCTCACAGGGCATCCAGGGCTTGTGCATTTGTAGTAGCTCCTATAAGACAACAAAAAGTTCTACAATAGGATGTTCCATTTTCAATTTACCCCTGCGCTTTTTGGATGGTTCATTTAGTTTCACATACAAAAGAAATGAGATGAAGCAAGAAAGAGAGACAAGTAACAAGTTTTGATACCTAGGATTAGGGTTTCCTTTGACAACCTTCTGTCCACACTTCCTCCAGCGATATCCATCATCGAGTATATCCACATCACTTTCTATTTGCACAACAACTCTTGGTTCACGGAGAGCCCCAGATGCGACATTCATCTCAGTCGAGCATTTTTCTGTCTTCCTGCAATGGGAAGTGGATAACAATGCAAAGTATATGTTAGTAAAAGCTACTAGAATTGTCCCAAGGATACATTCATTAACGTGTATATTGATACCTTCTTTTTGACTCGGACTCATCTTCATTAGCAGCAGCATCACAGAGTGGTATACTCCTCTGGGTAGCCCTACCATCATTATCATCATCGTGACTAGCAAGTGTTGATGAAAACTACGGAGTATCAGTAGATTCAAATGCACCAATAGATTTCCCTTGGGCAGTTGATAGTGGGTCAGAAAGATCAGTTACAACAGATGTTGAGGAGGTTCTTTCCAGACCATCGGCTCTCAAATCAGATGCAGGCTTAATATCATTTGAACCAGCTTGGGCATTTTTCCAAATTAAACCACTTTCAACTTTGACACAAGTTCCACTGCCTTCTGTACTCTCCGACAGTTCATTAGATGATAAAGAAGAGCCAAGTGATTGGCAACAAGGCTGACGGTTTGGGTGATTATGTCCACCCTTGTAGAGATGATTTCAGTAATTTGGCCATCAAGTGAACGCTCTACCTTCTTCTTCACCTGACAATTTGGATGGGTACATTTGTAGTAGCTTCTCTGATATTCACTGCCCTTTACCTGTTTCTGTCCATACTTCCTCCAGTTATATCCATCTTCTGATGTTCTTGCTGTTCCTGTTGCGCTGATGTGATCATCGGATCACCTTCTGAAGGATTTGTGAAGACATCTTGTCCCTTGAAAGGAACTTTCTACATAGCCATTTGATCAACAGCCAATCCAGAAGGAAGGAATCCCAAATAAACATTATCATTCACAATGTTATTTAAAACTTTGAATTCAGTGACTGAATCTGGTGCAAAACTTGTTGAAGTAGCTTCTTTGGAAAATTCTGCAGGAAATACAAGATCCAAAGGTGTATCCAAATGGACAAGATGTCGATAACTAGCCTCTGCCTTCTGGACCACATCAAAGGAGGAAGAAACCTACACAAAATATATTGATCACTAACAGAAACAGTGCTATATATGAAATGCCTAAATATGCATTTATGGGTGAAAAGGACTGTCTACCAGGATGAAGACACTCCCCTTTAGGATTGCCAAATGATATGATCAAGCATATCAATCTTAACAAAGATCACCCCTGTGGTGGATGTTAGACACCAACTACTATACAGTGAACTGCAGGTTTAAAATTTTATCTAAACCAAATAGCTTTCCTCCTAATGATAAAAAATGGAAGTCGGGTTAATCAGAACAGAAAAATCTGATCCACAAGGGAACTGAATACTGATGTGATTAAGTAGGCCAATCAACTTGCAACCACAACGAACAAAAACAACATTCTGAACTATCTACCTCCCTACCTAGAGCAAGGCTAATAGAATTACAAATAATTTGGATTCCACTTCAACCATGCTTCTAAAAGAAGGATATAGTTTTACCAGAAAAAATATTACAAGGTATTCATATTTTATCAACCTTAAGTGTATTGCATATGAGAAAGCTTAAGACTTGACTAGCTCCTAAACCCAAAATAAACAAAAACGGACAATCATAGGGATATTTCTTAAAACATAAAAGAGAAGGAATTAATCTCATGGAGTGCTGAAGAAATCTATCCAAAAGCAAATGTCAGCCGTTTTATAGCAGAGTGATCATGATCTTGATTCCTAAAATCGGTCTGCTTAACTAGTCTTTCATAAAGAAACAAGAAAATATCTCAAAGCAAACAGGAGACAAAAACAGTGCAGAAGGAAGAATATAGGTACATAATGTTGAAGTAACAAAAGAAGGATGAAAAACAAGATATAGAAGTCATGATTATAAAGTTTTGCCTGTTCAGTTTGCAAATATGGAACCATCAGCAGGGATTGAACTTTATGACTATGTATTACTAGAACAGAGGAAAATCACCTGATCTTCTACACTAGAAAAGCTTGGCTGGGAATCCAGATTCTGGGGTCTAAATGTGAAGGAAGGAGCTGCATTGCTGCCTCTGTCTCTGTTGCTTACACTCGGTACTTGACCACCCTGATTGAGAAGGGGTATCGGAAAAGTTCCAGTGGTGGGAGATGGCTATGTGGGAAACAAAAGTGTTCAACGACCATGTAAGTGGAAAAATCTAGAGCTAAACAGGAAATAAAAACTTTGAAACATTAGTTTGACAGATAAAACACAAGGCAGACAAATATGGTCCAGATTATTAAAGCTTTCTAACATGCTTTGGTTAATTTAACTGAGCTTAATTATTGCCCTAAAAACAAAAACTTCTTTAAATATACTTTAAGTTGTTCAAAGTCAAATAAGACAAATCAAGTAAGACAATTATCAACAACAACAACAAAGCTTAAAAATCCTTTATGAACATTCCAGTGATGGGCTATCACCAGACAACCAAAGTATTTCATTTTGGATGCTTGATTTTGAGGCTGTCAATTACGAGAGAGAGAAAAAATGAAATAATTAGAGCTGAAGCAAACCTCAAAAATTTCAATCCCTTGAAAGCATAGCAAACGCCTGATCTGTAAGCACCAATACACCATGGTTTTTTTTCACATTATTTGTACATTTGATGTTTTTTTTATATTAAAAATTTACATTTTCATGTTTATTTATTTCTTTGTTTTCTTTATTCAGTTTATGTTTCTTACAGATGTGCTTAGAACTAAACTAGAGAAATGATCTCCTCTTGTCCAAGTGGAGTTTTAAATTCCAAAAAGGATTAGATTTAAGAAATAAAACATTTAGCAATCTTTTAATTCGATTGTATAGATAAAAGAGAGGGGGGGGGGAAATAACACTTCTAATATGATTACGCTCTACGTTACAGTAAAAGCATGTATTCAGTTCCCAAACTAAGTAGTAAAAATCAATTTTTACTTCTAGGAACATAGCACAAGTTTAGTTC